GGATTGTGGGGCTGGCGCGGGATCGGGCAGTGTTTCGTTCTGCTGTGCATGGGGTCACTATGAGTCGGAAACGACTCAACAGCACTTAACAACAACAACAAAGTCCAATGATAATTTGTTATAGCAGCCCCAGGAGCCTAACACACCCGGTCAGAGAGTGACTGCAAGCAGCACCATTTAAGGCTTCTGAGTCCACAGAAGAAATGGCCCGATCGTTTAGACAGGCCTCCCTAAGCCATTCCTGCCACCGGTGAGGGATGCGGGGAGAGGACGAGCACAGAGTGCCCTCGTTGGTCGAGATGACAGGTGGAGTTGCCTCCTTCTACAACGACAACCATTAAACAATGAACACTGTTGGGATCACCAAACCCAAAGCTCTGAACCTTGACACTGCCAAGATAGGTAACCAGTACCATTTAAGAGAGAGAACAGAACATATGGGATGGATTAACTGGCAAAGTATGAAAATGACGCTATGATAATATCTACTGTAGTATGGAATTTATGGTAAACTCGGTCAATCCCAAAACTTCTACTACAGACTTGCAAGGCACACTTGCCAGAAGGCAGGTGACTTTAGGTGGCATGGTTCCTTGCACTGGCTCTCTGCTAAGCATTTTGCTGTGAAATCTCATGCAGGCTTCACAGACGTCCCCAGAGGCAAATGGCATTAGCACACACACCATCTCCTTCCACAGGGAAATGTGAGGCTAGGGGAACTGAAGTCAGTGGTCTTGACCACACATCAAACATGGAAGAGCTGAGGCTGGAAGCCAGGTCTGATTCCAAAACTCCTCCTCTGAACAGCTGTGTGTTGGTGCCTGCCAGACAGGTTACAATATCAGAGTTACTGCTTCTTTCTCAAGGAGCCCTCTACCCTGTGAGGTGCTGGTCAGCGGCAGCTGGAATAGATACATGCCCCCACCCAGCGTCCAGGGTCTGTGAGGGCAGGAATGGCTGCAATGCCTGGTCTTCACTCTGTGCCTCTCATCCGTGAGATGGGTGCACAGGAGCCATCCATGAGGGCCAGTGGGAGAGTTCAATGCGCTAAGAGGTACGTACCACTGAGAGATCTACCACTGGAAATAATTAGTCCTTCTCGCTCACACAACATGAACATGGAAGCAGAATTCAAAGATCTGGTTATTCAGATCTTACAGCCTTTGCCATTTATGCTCTGTGTCCTCTTGGGCAAAACAGTGTCTCTGAGTTTGCATTTCCTCATTTCAAGGAATCAAATTGGGGATGATTTCCACCGTCTACCTCCTAAGGGTGCCGGGAGGATGAGAAAACACTCTGGAAGCTCCAGAGGATTGGATCAGGGTTTCTCAACCTCAGCGCTATTGACATTTGGGGCTGACATCTTTGTCATGGGTTTAGGATGCTCAGCAAGACCCTGGCCTCTACCCACAAGATGCAAGTAATACCTGACCCCCAGCTCTGACAGCCAAAAATGTCTCCTGACACTACCAAATGGCCTCTTGTGATCACAGCTGCCTCTCGGCTGACAATATCCGTGGATGATGGTAAACTCAGACACTAGCTGACTCTTACTGTAAGCAGGTGTTAGGGACGCTCAGGTTATAACGTTTGCAAATTAACGGCTGCTGTTTCCTAAGGGTCTGGCATGTGCCAGGCACTGAGCACCCAGCTCTCCTGAGCAGCCCAGCCCGCCACCGCCCACTCACCCTGGACTGGGGAGGCCCGGCTTGGGCTCCAGGTGGCACTTGTTTGTCTCACACCCTAAGGGCTTTAGGAGGAGGTATTTCCTACCAGTCCCGTCATTCACCTGCATAAGGCTACTGCTTTATCCCTGGAATTATTTCTATACAAATGGATATGAAATGCTGTAAAATGGTTCTTCCTCCAACTCCCCTCCAGTCTTGCTAACACTATCAATCAGTGTGGGAAAAGCAACATAAAACAAAGATAAACTCCTACCTAGCTGACCTTTTTACTGGTTATTAGTTAGCTATTTCCCTTTCAGTCAATATACAGGATGCTTGGGGAAGGAAGGGCTTTTTTTTTTTTGTGATTTGGGTGAAAATTTACAGAGCAAATTTGCTTTCTATACAGTAGTTCACATGCACTGTCTCATGACATTGATTACAATTTACCCCAATGCAACAGCTCCCCTCCCACTTCCTCCCGATAGTTGCCTCTTCCGTGTCCATCCCTCCATGAATTCCTGCCCCCTGAGCTGTCTCCCTGTGCAGACACAGCCCTTCTTTCTCCCATGATTGTTCTCTCTAAGGAGAGCATCTACCTCAGGTAATGTTCAACTCATATGCCTGTCTCTTGTTTGGCTGAAAGCCACAGGAGTGGGTTTAATTTCAGATTTGAAGGGCAGCTAGGTGCCATAATCTCAGTGGTTCCAGCAGGCTCTATCAGACCAGCAAACCAGGTCACCCCCTTTTTTTTTTCCAAATGACTGAGTTTTGTTCCACATTGTTCTCTATTCAGGGTCTCCAACGGAGATCCCCCTCCTAGTGGTTGACAGTGGTAGCCAGGCACCATCTAGTTCTCCTGGTCTCATAGTTATATAGGCTGAGGACTGCATGGTGTACCAGTCACGAGAACTAATTGTTTCCATGAATTTTTGCTTTTCTTCATTCTTTGCTCTGGACGAGGAGAGACCCATCATTGCATCTAGATGGCTGCTTGCAAGCTTTTAAGATCCCAGTCACTATTTGCCAAAGTAGGAGGTGGAACAATGTTTTTGTGTAGTATGTTATGTCAATTGAGCCTGATGTCCCCTGTGACTATTGTCCAGAGTCCACAGGTTCAACTACTTGGTCCCTCTGGGTAGCTGGCTGTGACCAAGAAGGGACTACAACCTTGCCCCTTGTCAGTTCTACTATACACCTGGGAATTCAGATCATACAAATTCACTTACAGGACCACTGTCTGGAGGAAGGGCCTCTTTTAAACCACCAGACAAAGCCACTGTCTGTCTGGACCTGGGGACAGGGGAGACCTGGAATTAGCACAGGCAAGGAGGTGGAGGTAGGGATGCAGGTCTCAATTCAGCCGTAGAGAAAGGCAGGCTGGACACCATCTAAATTCAACAAAGAAATGCTTTGCAAACCTTAGAAATAAAAACTATGCTTCTCTATTTCAGTGTCTCCTTGACAAAGGGCTTCAATTATGCAGAGATACAGAGTCTCTCAGCCTTCGGTGGACACATGGGGCTTGGGTAGGTGGCTGAGGGACGCTAATATACTATGTAAATATCATGGCGTGTGTGCCAGAACCTGAAACAAAACTGGGGAAACACATCCCCAAAACAACAAAAATGCCAAGGTGATTTCCCCCTTCTTTGCGTTTTTGTGCATTTCCTATGATAAACATGTTTTTTTCTTTTTATAACCATCATGAACCAACCAATGTTATTTTTACATTTACTTACTATGTAATCTTTATTTAGAAAAAGAGTTGACTGTGTTTCCAGTGAAGGTGAAGGTTCCCCTTTGACAACCTCTACCCAAGCTGTCCAGGGACACCGGTCACACTCTTCACAGCAGGTCACCTTCTCACCGCTCCATTCTGGCTGCTCTGCCTCCATTCATCTCGTTTCCCTGCCCCGACAGTCTCCCGTGTTTGAAAGTCACTGTTGACCGTCTGGTCTCCTACAGGTGCTTTTTTAATAGGAGCACAGGACTGATGGTTATGCTTATTATTTTTTGAGGCAATCTGCTCTTCAGCTACAAGGTGACCTAACGGGTGAGTTTGGGTTCAAGGTTTGAAGAGCTGCTGTGTAACCCTGAGGATGCAAGTCGCCATCACCATCCTGTGCCTCAGTGCCCTTGTCTGTGGAATAGGCACACAAGTAGCAGGTCCCGATGGCTCATGCTAACCACTGAAGTTACATACTCTACTATTATTTTCTAAAAACATGAAGCGCCAGGCACAGAAAGAAAACCAAGAAGCCAACCGATACATAAGCTAACAGCCCCGAGAACCAGCAAGGAAGGACTGAAAAGCAGCTCATTGATAGTGAAAGAAAAAAATGAAAATAAAAGAAACATACATTCCTTCCAGAGAATATGGCTGGTTTTGAGGGCAAGGAGGAACTGGAGAAGGAAAAGGGGCAACGAGAAATAGTCTGATTTATCCCTTATCTCAGCCTCTATGTTAGAGGACGGGTCAGTTCCTCAAACAATGAAAAACCAAAAGTCATTAAGAAACCAGAGCCCAAATGATGGGTCTCATCCCCACTCACAGCCTTTCTCAAGGGGTCTTGGACAGCTGGCTAATGAGGACTGTGGGCAGATACACGGAAAGCTGACTCCAGGCAAATACCAAAAGCACACGTAGCCCCTTCACCCTGCCGGGAAACCGCTGGGCACCTCACCTTGGAGGAGAAAGTAATCCGAAGTCGTGCGCTTCAGGGCGGCTTTGGCTTTCTCACTGCGCCAGTCAACCTCCAGAGCTTCCTTCATGGGGCAGAAAACCAGCTTCTGTCAAAAAAGGGATAAAAAAGCAAAAATGGTTAAAATAAAATATGTGAGCTTTAAGTCACATCTCGGAGAAATTTCATTATTTGAGGTTTACTGTTCATCGAAAGCAGCCGGGGCCAGTTTCAATCCAATAAACACTTATGAGCACTTCCCACGTGCTCCTCAGGCTCTGAGGACACAGAGATGAGTAAGATGTACGCCCTGGACTGAAGCGAGACAGAGCAAAGCTCCTGAAGACCTAGCTCCAGCCGGCTCTTCAACTCTATGTCTACATTACAGGAATTCTTAACCACGTGAAGAAGAATGTGTGTCTAAAGAGGAAACACCCTAACAGCCAACAGAACAAGCAAGTATTTATCAGTCGAGGAATGGTTTATGATGACGAAAGATGACAATATAATAAGAAGGAACAGGAGAAAAACAATGAGCAGGGCTGTGAGAATAGCCTGAAAAGCCCCGCGTAGGAAGAAGTATGGCTGAGAGCTGGTAAGAAAATCAAATCATCTTGGAAAATGTCATAATCTATACTGTTTTGAAATATAAGTAATTTTTTTTCTACTTTTGCACAAATACAGAGGTATTATTGTGTCCACCAAAAAGGTTCGGAAATAAAGCTATGAGGAAGAAAATGGTTTTCATCTCTCGCTCTAAAAAAACTCACCCCAGGAGCCATCAGCTAGGGCTGAGGAAAGGCGGGGAGAGAATGTGAACGGAAGGGGACCGGGTGGCCTGGTCAGAGGGGGTGGAGCCAGGGAAGGAAGCATCCCAGGGGCTGCAATGGGAGACTGGCGACATTCAAGGCTTGATGCAACATTGTATCGAGAGTTTGGGGAGCTAGGCTCCTCATCATGAGAAGGGAAGCAGAAATATGAAAAGGTGAAAAGGAGAATGAATCCCATAGAGGGAGTTACTGGTGTGAACTCATTATTTTCAAGATATAGAGACAGGTAAAAAGTTAAATGTAGACCTAAAGGTGCAAGTGTGGGTATATGGACGTACAAACAGGAACAAGCTCTATCCGCCGAGAGGGCCTAAGAGCAGTGAGACAGGAAGCAATGGGCGCACTGGCACCCAGATCTTGGTTCCCATTCTCCACTGAAAAACCTCTGAAGAAATGGCTGATGTCAAAGCTGAGGCAGATGTATACCATAAAGAGTTGAACTGCCAAAACCTGTGTGACGGCTAAATTTACAAGGACAGAAAAACAGAGCAGCTGCTGTGGCTACTTATGTACAACAAAACACCACATGAAATTTCAATCCTTGGTTTGGAGGTTGAGGCTCACAATTTCATGGGACATCCCAGTGAATTGGCCTAATAACCTATTTCGTGCTTCTGTTCCACCTATTTTGTTGCATAGTGTCTGGAGTTTTAAAAGCTCACAAGTGGCCATCCAAGGTACAGCAATTGGTCTCTATTCTCCTGGAGCAACAGCAGGAGGATATGGAATGTGTGGCTAAACTGCCTCCAAGAACAACTGCCTCCTTTGCCATGAGACCAGAACAACTTGGGTGGTGCCCAGCTACCACTGCTGAACACTTTGTGATCAGAGTCTGTAGAAGAATCCTGATCAAAAGGGGGAAAATGCAGTGTGAATTCAATATTCTCATGGAATCCAGGTTATCTGGAGCCATGGAACTGAAGGAACCCCTGAAACTAGTGCCCTGACAGAATCATTAAACCTGACAGCAAAAATATCCCTTCGAAAAGAGACCTCGGATAAGCAAAGCACTACTGAAGAAGAAAAACAAAGTAGGAGGTCTCACATTGCCGGATCTCAAAACCTACTATAC